TAATATCGGTGTCCACAGTTGAGGAAGGTGTTAGTCTCGCTAAGCGAACAATAGATCTGTGCAAAGATGCAGGATTTCGCTTGCATAAATTTGTGGCAAACAATGAAGAGGTGTTAAAATCGTTGCCAAGCAGTTCAGTGGCTGATGGATGCAAACAGTGGAGCACACTTCCTACAGAACGAACCCTGGGTATACTCTGGGATGCTGGTTCAGATGCCTTTCAATTTAGTTCCTGTGTTCGAGAACGCCCTTCCACTCGTAGAGGTGTCTTATCTATGGTGAGCTCAATTTTTGACCCTCTAGGGTTTCTTTCACCATATGTTTTGAATGACAAGAAGATACTGCAACATCTGTGTACCAATGAATCTGATTGGGATCAACCAATTCCAACAAGTGTCGAGCAGAAGTGGAAGCAGTAGAAAGATCAAAATACTTAAATATCTAATAATGTCCGGATTGATAGGTGTTACAAGCCAAACCTAAAGGAACCATCGTCCAATAAGTCTGCTGAACTGCATCATTTTGTGACGCAAGTGTGGATGGGTATGGTGAATGTTCATATTTGAGACTTGTTGACAATAATAACTGTGTGAAATGCTCTTTAGTGATGAGTAAAGCTAGAGTGGGGCCCAGAAAACCAACAACAATCCCTAGAATGGAACTTGTTGCTGCTACAGTGTCAGTCAAGATAACTACAATTTTGAGAAGAGAACTGAGTTGCTACAAGAACTTAAAGGAGCATTTTTGGACTGACAGTAAGGTCGTTTTAGGCTACATAGATAATGATGCTAAGCGCTTCCATACCTTTGTAACAAACAGGGTCCAGCTAATACGTAATAGCAGTGAATTAAGACATCTTCATTTATTCAAGTTGAAGGGTGGTAAGCGTTCAGGCAATATTATGGTAGAAGATATGAGAGAAGTTGCTGATAAGGGCAGCTCAGCAGAGTGCCTATCCAAATTGGACCAAGTTGGCCAAGCTAGACCCAGTGAGGGATGAAGATGGTCTGCTGAAGGTTGGTGGGCGCCTGAGGAAGTTTCTATAAATCTTAAACATCCTGTAATCCTGCCTGCCAAATGTGAAGTTACCAGGTTGCTGGTCAATCATTATCATCAAAAAATTCACCATGACGGGCGTGGCATAACGCACAACAGTATAAAGTCAGCTGGCTTTTGGATAGTGGGTGGTATGTCCGCTGTATCAAGATGGATATACGGATATACAATGTGTCGTAGTATGCGAAGACAACCTAGTTGTCAAAAGATGGCTGATCTCCCAGAAGACAGACTACATCCAGCTCCTCCATTCTGCTACTGTGGAGTTGACTATTTTGGCCCTTGGATCGTGAAATGTGGACGTAGAGAGATTAAGCGGTACGGAGTGCTCTTTACGTGCATGGCCTCGAGGGCAATTCATCTAGAAGTTTCACATTCCCTTTCAACAGATTCATTCATAAATGCCTTCAGACGCTTCATAGCAAGACGAGGACCAGTTTGACAGGTGCGCTCAGATCAAGGTACAAATTTTATTGGAACCATAAAGGAGTTGCGAGAGGCACTACAAGAAATGGACCAGGATGTAGTAAAGGCAGAAATGTTAAAGTTGAACTGTGATTGGATCTTAAACCCACCATGTGCTAGTCACATGGGTGGGGTTTGGGAACGGATGATTAAGAGTACCCGAAACGTTCTGAACAATCTACTATTTAAACATAAGGGTTTGTTTGATGACGAGATGTTACATACTTTCATGGTTGAAGCAGAGGCAATTGTGAATAGCAGACCATTGACCAGTTTGAATGAAGCTTCTATGGAGCCATTAACGCCAAGCCATCTGCTCACTGCCAAGGCAAGTGTAGTGTTGCCACCGACAGGAAAGTTTACACATACCAACCAGTACTGTAGAAAAAGGTGGCGTAGAGTTCAACATCTGGTAGAGGAATTTTGGAATAGGTGGAGAAAGTCTAATCTACAAACCAGAAGCAAGTGGACAAATGAGAGTAAAAATATGAAGATAGGCGACGTTGTGCTTGTTATTGAAGAAAATGCACCTAGGAATCATTGGTAATTTGCTAGAGTAATTGCAACGTATCCCAGAGTGAAGACGGTCTTGTTCGAAAGGTGCAAGTGTATGTTGGATCAAAGAAGGTCAAAATGGATCGACCTGTACACAAGTTAGTGTTTATTACTGGAGAAGATGAATAGCGAATTGGGGTTATCCCCGCCAAGGAGCCTTTGTGTGCTCTATTGGGTGTGAGCCTAGCGCCGCCTTATATATATATAAAAAAAAAATTAAAAAAAATTGATGTTCTAATTATAGGGGTTATCCCCGCCAAGGAGCCTTTGTGTGCTCTATTGGGTGTGAGCCTAGCGCCGCCCTTTTGATACGAAGTTTCTTGCTGACGATGACATCTGTAAGTAGTGTGGAATATGTGGAGCACTTACACAGACTGTTGTTTGCGATGTAAAAAAAAAAAAAAGCATTGATCTAAAGTTGATTTAATAGAACATTGTTGGACTGTTTGCGAATCGTTGATTATGAAGATATTATTGCATCCTGTTTGATCAAGAGATGATCTTGTTGCTTATACCATTTGAGCATTTGGACAAAAAAAACAAAAAAAAAAAAAACATTCGTTTTGAACATTATATTTCTTTGTATTGTATTGTTGAACTTATGATAATGTTATACTGCTTATAGGTAAATTTTGTTAAAAATTAAAGGGAGCCATGTGATGACTATAGATTCATATAGGAGGCCCTCTGTTGGTTCATACATATATAACATACCTTGTAGTATAATGGTAGAGTCCTGAAAGTTTAGTGCGGTAAAGAACGAGTGTTGCGCGTTGGAAACTAGGGACGCCATACTGCCTGTAGGAGTACATGTTGTTAATGGAGAGCGTCCATTTGAAGTTAGGAAGTCGAATACACCGTTTTACTATGCCTTAATTTAGCTGTTGTGGGACTGGTATGTACATGTACTCGTCACGCTTGACTGCACAAATGAATATTTATGACGTTATAGGATAGGCTGATGCCATTGGTATTGTCGAGGTGCAGTGGGTTTCTTATTGCCTAATTTAATTGTTTAATCATTATTTTTACTTATTTTACAGTAATTTTACGATTTTATGATGATCTTGATGACAGTTAATAAATATATACCAAAAGGCAAAAGTTTTGTTGTCGAATATCATCGAGACAGTAAAATAAGCCCGACGTAACACTAACGTTTCTATTAATAGAGATTAATTTTGAATAGAAATATAGTTTTAAATAAGCGATATCTCTACTATTTAAAAAATATATATTGAGGCTATTTAAAACCGGAAGATATCTCTATTGATTGTTTTAATTTGTTTCTATGAGTGGGTACTAACGGACCATGGAGGAAGAACCTCCATGCTACGATCAAGACAGAATGTAAATTTCGCGTACACGATGACATTGCCGCCATGCATTAAATACCGACAGAAGAACAGTGCTTTCAAATCTTTTTATCTACCAGTATAGAAGAATAAAGACAGGAGCCCAGAATGTGCTCACCTTATCGAGATTGAGATACGTTTTCGTATATTTTTTCTATACTTAATTGGCCTACGAGTTATGACACTGAAAGCCTAGGCCGCTACAGTTTAATTAGTTCTTGTCTTTGTTTGTAATGAGTTTATATCTTACATGTTTTTTAGTCATTGTTTACTGGCAATATACGACTACTATAATTAAAATTGCATGCTAATCAATAATCAATCTTTTTTACATACCGTACTCGCGCGAATAAGCGCCCCGTTCGAATAACCGCCCCTCCTAACGTGAAAATGTCTTTAAGCGCCTAATTTGAATACGCGCCCCTTCAATAATATATTTTCTTTTTAGCAAGTCAATAATCCAATCAATGGGTTGTTGGCATGATTTGAGCTGCAGAGTGGAAACACATTCTTCTTAGGTCAATATCAAAATGAGGATATTTCTCTTGGACAGATGAGAGCTCCGATCCCTGGACAGGACAGACAGTATATTTCCAACTTTACTCTTTGTACATATTGTCTATGCCTAGTCCTACTCCTCTTTTTCTTTTTCCGACCTTTAGCACATTCTCATCTGAGTTTTCAAGAAAAAATACAATGATCCCGCCATCCTGCTAATCTCAATCGGCCGATGGCCAATAAGCTAACTAATACCCACCACCACTAATTGCATCTGCTATTTTGCTGTTATGTAAATATTCACAGCATTCTTGTCATGAGCCATGTTCTCTGGAGGATTAGGCGTATCTTTTCCGCCTAACCACCATTCAATGTCCTTTTCATTCAAAAGTGCCTCTTGAATTTAATAATTTCCCATAAGAACCCATCGATTTTCATCTATTTCCATAAGCACCCCCTCAATTTCCACTCTGTTTTCATAAGCGCCCCGTTTGAATAAGCGCCCCTCAGAAAGTGCAAAAAATATTTTAAGCGCCCGGGCGCTTATCCGCGCGAGTACGGTATTATGAGTAAACTGATCGTTGTTTACACTTGTTCGTATCATTAGTATTCATAGTAAACAGCGGGTGCAACTATGCGAGGCTTGCAACCGTATGTAGACCTATATTACTTGCCGTCTGTGGAACAGTGAACAATCTTTACCCATGTAAATCAGTTTAATGTGAAACCGTGCAATAAAGCCAATGCAGGCTCGCGGTACGTAGGCCCTATACTGGTGCACATGGCCGCCTTTTACAATGAAAGTACAGTACATCAGTGTGAATCAGTTCAAATGAGAAAGAAAGTGAAACTGTTTATTACAAGGTATCATTTATATTTATTATCTTTAAAGATAGTTAACATATCGAATATATTGGCTTTACCTTGTCAACTGATATACTGTAGCCCATTTCTTTGTAGTAAAGATAGCTAACTTTTAAAAGTCGTTGGTTTTTATTGCATTCTTCCCACACACTTATATGTTTATTATTATTTTTCTTTCTCTTCTACCTGTATTGTTTTAAATGTTATGATCAGACCTGGAAGAATTTGTGCCTCATCCGACTATGAAAATCGCCTCAATAAAATTGCCTCTAGCGCCAAAATTTTATTTGTACACTATAAAGCCCAACAGTTTATTTATTATTACTATTTTTGAATGTTTTTCCCCTAAAAAGGCCTCCCGGGACATGATGCCACTGACCGCTGGTCGCGAGGTCGCACACTTTTTCCAGCTCTGCATAATTATAATGTACCATGAAATTTTCTGAAATGTCATTATTTGATGAAGTGGATTGTAATCTGTATTTTCTATCAATTTCTATATGTCCTGGATATTTCATGTACAATTCTTATTATTCATTTAGGCCACATGGTAACTAGTGAATATAGTCATACAAGACATGCATATGTATGCAAATTAGTTCTTTCAGATACTGTTGTGAACAAGTTCTATCGTGATAATCAATTTACTGTACATGGAAACCTGCAACGCGGTCACTACATTCT